AATGAAAAGGGAAATAGAGTTATTTAAAATCCGTTTCAATATAAGTATGGAAAACTTCCTGTCAGAGGAGAAGTCCCTCAAAACAGCTATTTATACAACATTTCGCAACGCCACAAAATTCTGTGAATTGCCACTTAAAGTCGGCATTTCAAAGCACACAAGGACCAGGAGCTCACCTCGCACCTCGCCCCAATTTCCACGGGCTGGCGAAAGAGCCTCCGCAAGTTTTCTCAAATAAACTTTATTTCTCCTAAACTCGGTATTTCTTTAATGTGGAATGTTCATTCCCACATTCCCTGCGGCACGCCAGGAGCTCCCAGCCCGGGGGAATCGCCCGGCCCTCAGCAGCTTTTGGGGGAATTCATTAGGAAGCAAAGGTGCACCCTAGAAATCAGATTTACATCCCCCTCGTTCCACCGAGGTCCCGGCGTGTCCCCGTGTCACGTTGTGCTGGGTTACATTTAATTAACAGCAGTCAGGGCTAAAGCCTTAATGAGCTGCAGCAGGGCCATATGGTGCTGCTGTCCTTCCTCATCCTCCTCATCCTCCTCATCCTCCTCATCCCAAACGGCACCGCCGAGAGCCCTGCTCGCCCCGCAAATCCCCACCAGAAACATTTCAATTGCCTCCTAAGCCAAGGAAAGCCAAGCGCAAGGACCAGAACTGGCTGAGCCAGGCTCTAATTACCCCGCTGAGGCAATTAGCTGCTGCTGCTGCACGTGCCCGGCACAGCCCTCCCAAACAACCCCAAAAATGAGCGGCGACGCTTCCCCCAGCCCCAGCCCGCGGCTCAGTCCCAAATTATCCCCGGCACCGCCTCTCTGCCCTGCACACCCTGGCTGCACCCTCGCAGGTACAGGGGATGTTGTGGGCACAAACCTGCAGGGAATGGCATCAGCGTTAGCACCTTCTGCCAAAAATCAGGAGGCTCAGCTGACCCCCACCAGCGAATTTTCAAACCCCTCAAGCTCCAGCAGCTGCATCCCAAAAGAGTTTCCCCTCCAGCCTGAGGGGCTGAGCCGGACAGGAGTTATTCCACAGCCAGCAGGGCTCAAATCCCCAAGTTTTCAGTGACGGATTGGTAAAAACTCTTCGTTTCCTCTCCCACAACGCCTAACCCAGCTCACAGCTCGCCAGGGCGTGGGAGCAGCACCCGGGCCAGGGGACCCCAGCTGGGTCACCCCCGACCCCTCTGTGCCCCTTCCCACACCGGGGAAGGATGGATGTCCTGCAGAGCACGAACCGGGGCAGGACGGATCCGGAGTGAGGAGCTCCTCGGTGCATCCCACTGCCACAAGCTCCCTCACCCCAGGGGTTTGGGCAGAGCTTCAGGCAAACTTGCAAATTCTGGAGGACTTTACCCCCCACTGGAAATCTTTACAAACACGAACCCTCCCCGCTCACCGCTGATGCCAGCCCCGCCCATGAGCCGATCATCTCCTCTTTCCTGGAAAAGCTTCATTTTCCAAACCCGGAAAATGAAGAGACCCCGGCCCGGCCCCTCCCGGTGCGCAGCCCCCAGGGGAAGCGGGGAGAGCCCGCAGGTCCCGGCAGCACCAAAGCCGGTCCTGAGGGGGGCAGAGCTGGGGAGAAGGGGAGGGAGAGGGTCCGGAGGGGCAGAGTCCGGGCAGGGTGAGGGATGCGGGACGGCAGCAGCGGGCGGGGATGCGGGCAGGGCAGGGGTGCGGGACAGCGAGGAGCAGGCAGGGGACGGGCAGGGGACAGGCAGGGGACAGGCAGGACGCGGGGAAGACGCAGGACAGCACTCACAGTCGCAGCGCAGGGCGCGCTCCCGCACCGCCTCCCCGCACAGGTCGCACCAGCCCCGGCGCGGCAGCCGCGGGGCGAAGCGGTGCCCGCGGCCGAGCTCGGGGGGCTCCCGCGGCACCGCGAAGATGCTCCGCACGTCGGGCAGCAGCCTCGGGGCTCCCCCTCGCCTCCGCAGCCGCCGCGCAGCCCTGGCCCCGCCGGGGCTCTCCGGAGAGCGGCCGCCCGCGGGGGTCGCGGCGGGGCCCGGCGGCCGGCGGCGCTTGGGAGCGGGGGGCGGCAGCGGCCGGGGGCACGGCCCCACGGCCGGCGATGCCATGGGCTCGGAGCGGCTGGAGCGGGGCAGCGCAGGCGCCTTGGACCGGCCGGGAGGGAGGAGACACGGCGGGAGGGGCGGGGGTGGCACCGGGACCGGCCCCGCGGGGACCCCCCCCGAGCATCGGGACTGTTATGCAGCTTCCCCCGGAGCGATGTTTCCCTGTGGACGCGCTCCTGGCCGTGGGATTCCCCGTCCGCGCCCTGGGAATGTCCCCGCGGCCGCCTCTGGCCGGGAATCCCCTCTGGCTGTGCTTGGTGGGACCCCCCCGGGCACCCCAGACCCAGGGAGCTCTCCCAGCTGGACGATGGCCCCCTCGGATCTGGGGTGCCCCGGAGGGGTCCCACGAAGCACAGCCAGAGGTTTTCCCCCAGCGTCAACTCAGCCGCATCCCCCGCGCTTTGTCGCGGCTTTGTCCCCGCCGGCGCAGGACGGTCACGCGTGGGGCAACGCTGGGAAAAGCCCCCCGTCCCCTCTGCAGGGACGGCCTGGAGGGCTGGGACACGCAGGAATTCCCTCCCCGAGCTCAGGCTCCCGTGCTCGTGGGGAGCGTGAAAGGGAGAAAGAATCGCGGCCGAATCTCGCAGGGCAGCGGTGCCTGGGGCTGCCACCCCTTCCCCTGGCACCGCGAGTGACCGCCGGGGGTGGCACGGAGGATGGGGGGTCCCTGTCACCCTCTGTCACCCCCTGCTCCCTTGGCTGGAGACGGTGACACATCCCTGAGTCATGCGGGGCACCGCTGGCCCTTCCCCGCCGCTCTCGCTCGTTGCGATTTGTTCCGCGTTCATTCAGACAGAATTACCCCCGAATTTCTGTGGTTTTTGGAAGAGAAGGGAGGTGAGAGGCGGCTGCAGCAGGGCTGGGTGAGTCCGGGCTTATGGGAAGCCGAATTTGACGTCGCCCGTGTACTCCTGAGGACAGGATAAGCCGAGGATATCCAAATCCTTTCCAAGGATTCTAATTTGAAGGATGGATTAAAACACTGGCTCTGAATCACAGCAGCCTAGCGCCAGAAGCAGCCCCTAATCAGAGCTTCAATCCAAAGCAGGAATAACGCAGCTGGAAAAATTCGAGTTTTGCTCTGTGCTGAGCAGCAAGATTAATTTTTGGAGGATCTTTTCCTTCCCAATTCAGGATTCCGATTCGCTTTCATACTTCCTCTGCTTCTGTTTGAAAACAGCAGCAGATTTATTCCTCAGTAAATTGTTCCACAAAAATTTGGTGTTTTATCCTATGCCCTCCACAAACTGTTAATTGTATCAGGAATCACCTACAAAAAAAGAAATTTCTGAGGATGAAAGTCTGCCTGTCACCTGGCTGGGAACCTCCTAAAACCATCCTGGACTTTCATTTTCCCGATCCCATCCTGGGAGACACCTCCAGTCTCTGTTCTGCAGCCTCAGGGCATAAAAATCCTAAATAAATATTATATTTTCTGTCCCCACAGCAAGCTCAGCCTGCACAAGAGGCTCATGACAATCATTATCCTTCCCAGCTGTCCCTTCAGGTATTCTGAGCTGACAGCACAGGGAGACCTTTTTAGGCCACAGGTTAAAATATTTTGGGGGGGGTGGGGGGGGGGAAAGAAAGCCCAAGTAATTAACATTGGCAGGAAAATTCTTGTTTCATTTGGATTCCAGAAGTCCCCTCTGCAGCTGCAGTGTTACAGCAGTTTAAGCATGACAAGGGCTATTAGCAAAAACTCTTTTTTCTGCTTGCCAAGAAATAAATCCCTTTTTGTTGAAGCCAAACATGTTCCAGGTCAAATGCTCAGCTGGTACGAGTCAGTGCAGCTCTGCTGAATCCCAGGAGGTGCAGCAGGGACCCTGCCTGGGCTCCCTGCCCTGTTCCTCCGGGAATATCGGTGAATCCTGGCTGGATTCAAAATAACCTCCGTTGGAAAACTCGGAGAGCCCCAGAAAAATAATTCCTAGGAGAAAAAGCTTTGAAGGGATGGATTAGTTCCACCTCTCCACGGCAAACAGTTGGGCTTGACATTCAGGATGTTGGTTTTTATAATTAAAATTAATGGGGAGCTCCGGTGCCAAATTCCACCGGGGAAAGGTTTCCTGGGCGGGGGAGGCTCCTGGGCACCCTTGGCGTGTTCCTACAGGAAAGTCAGGCTGGGCACAGCCCTGCAGCTGCTGCTGCTCCTTCCTTCTGCTGCCCTTGCAGGGATGGATGTGTCCCGGCACCGGGATGAGCCCGGGATGGGTGGGATGAGCCCGGGATGGGGGGGATGAGCCCGGGATGGGTGGGATGAGCCCGGGATGGGGGGGATGAGCCCGGGATGGGTGGGATGAGCCCGGGATGGGTGGGATCTCTCTCCCTGCCTGGCTTTGGAAGCTGCTCCATGGGCTGGGGGTGACAGCCCATAAATGACGCTGGGGACAGGCAGGGGGGTGGCTGAGGAGCAGCGTGGCTGACCCTTCCCACAAACATCTCCCGATCCCATCTCCCACTCCTGGATCCCGGCAGTTCCCATCGCTGCTCCACATTCTGCCCTGGCTGGTGGTCAGGGAATTTCGGCTCCTCATCAACCCCAAGGTCAAAAACCAGTCGGGAATCCAGAGCAGAACGGCTGCCCCTAAAAAGGGCTGGTCCAGAGCGGGCCAGCAGGGCCCTCCCGCAGATCTCCGGGCAATTCCCGAGGGACAAGGTGGGAGGGATGTGCTCCTCCTCCATCCTGTTTCTCCAGAAACATAAAAGCGGGGAAGGGGTGGGAATGTCTTCCCAGCTCCAAGCACTCAGAGCCACCAGCATCCCCCCTCCAGCACGTTAAAAGTGGGAATAATTCCTAAATAAGTAAGAGGATGAAAGGTGAAGCCTCTTCTTCCTCGTCTGACACAGTGACACAGAAACCATAAAAACACCAAGTCCTTCAGGCGTTTTTTAACAAGAAAAGATAAAACCCCACTCAGTTTTCTGGCCAAACTTCCAGAGTCTCAGGGCACTGGGAGCTGATGGATGTGCAAAGTGCTGGAGCACAGAGGTAGCACACAGAGAGCTCCCAGGGCACGGAAATCCGACGGCTCCTGCGATTTCCCCGTGGTTGGAAGTGGTTTTGCTTCGGCAGCTGCACCTTCACAGTGTCCCTCAAACGCTGGGAGTGGGAGCAGCCCCACCCAACCTGCAGGGACAAAACCAAAGGATTTAGGCCAGATGTGGTCCTAAAAACAGGGCTGAATTCCCAATTCCATGGGTTTTGTCTCCTGGACATCCTGCAGTTCATATTCCCGTTGTCCATTTGCATTCAGAGCCTTGAGGAAAGGATGCAGAGGAGGGAGATCACAGGGGGTGTTCAGCAGTGGACACTGGGTTTTGAAGGGATTTTCAAGAAGAAAATCTATTTCCCCATGGCAGTGAACAGCAGTGGGTGCTGGACAGCACAGGGAAAAGGCTGGCAAGAGGGTGAGGAAATGACAGAGAAGTTCATGGCTAAAACTCCAAGAAAGAGAAATTGTGGTGCTGCCAGGCCATGGTGCAAACTTGGGGCAGTTGAAAAGCCCAGGTGAAGCAGGCCAGGAGCGAGGGTGGCTGTGCTTGGTGGCTCGCAGGGAACCCACCCAGACCCTCCAGAACATTCCAGGTGGGAGGAGCAGGGATCCCTGCTGGGAGCAGCAGCTCCCGGTGCTCTCACTCACCTCTCGATGATGCTGTTGTTGAGCTGGAGATTGCAGGAGACCGACCTCATCTGCTCCAGCAGCTCCTGCATCCTGCAGGGACACACACAGCCCCAATTCCTGCATCCTGCAGGGACACACACAGCCCCAATTCCTGCATCCTGCAGGGACACACACAGCCCCAATTCCTGCATCCTGCAGGGACACACACAGCCCCAATTCCTGCATCCTGCAGGGACACACACAGCCCCAATTCCTGCATCCTGCAGGGACACACACAGCCCCAATTCCTGCATCCTGCAGGGACACACACAGCCCCAATTCCTGCATCCTGCAGGGACACACACAGCCCCAATTCCTGCATCCTGCAGGGACACACACAGCCCCAATTCCTGCATCCTGCAGGGACACACACAGCCCCAATTCCTGCATCCTGCAGGCACACAGCCCCAATTCCTGCATCCTGCAGGGACACACACAGCCCCAATTCCTGCATCCTGCAGGGACACACACAGCCCCAATTCCTGCACTGCTCAGTCCCTGCTCCCCACGGGAGCAGCTCCTGCTGGAGGGCTGGGATGTCCCCCAGGACACGGATCTCGTTTCCAGCCCTGCAGACACAGAAGCCCCACCCCATTCCCCAGAATGAGCAGCAGGATCTGCTCCCCCCAATCCCTGCTCCCAGGACTCACCGCAGAGCCATCTCCTGGCTCAAGGGGACGGGGGAAGGCACGGGAGGAGCCAGGGCCAAATTCCATTTCTCCACTTGGAGAAGCCTGTCCAGAGCCTGTGGAGATGGAGAGTCCTGGGTGCCCAGAGCACTGAGCCAAACGCTCAGCAGCACCCACAGAGTCACAGCCAGCACTGCTCCAGGACAGTGAAGTCACCCAGGGGCCACCACATCCACCAGGAGCTCGAGCCCCAGCTCAGCAGCTTTTCCTCCTGTTGAAATTCCCATTTATCCCATGGGACCCCCCGTGCCAGGCAATCCTTGGCACCAGCAGTGCCTCTGCCAAAGGTTTCCCCACTCCCTGCTCACAGCAACACCTCCAGCTTGGATCACCCACAAAAAACTGCAGCAAGAGGTTTAAAAACACTCCAGGAGCCTGGAGAGGGAGCAGGAGCTGGGGAAAAAACATGGGGGGAAAATGGGGGGAAAAAAATGGGAAAACATGGGGGGAAAATGGGGGAAAAAAAATGGGGAAAAAAAATGGGGAAAAAATGGGGAAAAAAATGGGGAAAAAAATGGGGGAAAAAATGGGGAAAAAAATGGGGAAAAAATGGGGAAAAAATGGGGAAAAAATGGGGAAAAAATGGGGAAAAAATGGGAAAAAAATGGGAAAAAAATGGGAAAAAAATGGGAAAAAAATGGGAAAAAAATGGGAAAAAAATGGGAAAAAATGGGAAAAAAATGGGAAAAAATGGGGAAAAAAATGGGGAAAAAATGGGGAAAAAATGGGGAAAAAATGGGGAAAAAATGGGAAAAAAATGGGAAAAAAATGGGAAAAAAATGGGAAAAAAATGGGAAAAAAATGGGAAAAAAATGGGAAAAAATGGGAAAAAAATGGGAAAAAAATGGGAAAAAAATGGGGAAAAAATGGGGAAAAAATGGGGAAAGGCAAAGAGGAGGCAGGGAGAGCACAGGGCCGGGGCAGGAGGACGCTGTGGAGCTGCAGCCCTGCACCTACACCCTGCAGGCAGTCCTGGCACTCCATCATCTCCACGCTGCAGGCACTGATGCGGTTGCTGAGCCTCTTCAGGTGCTTCTTGATCTCACAAACTTTCCTGGAGAGACAAAACCACGGCAAAACTCCCGGTTAACGCTTGGCATCGTTCAATTTTTTTTTTTTATGTTAATTTTTGGATGTTAACTTTTATTTTTTTGGATGTGTTTTAATGGCACTCTGCTTTCTGCAGGATTCAGAATCCTGAAGGGAAGCAAAGGAGTCACAGCAGTGCTGCAGCTCCAGCAGCCAGCTTATCCAAACAGCTGTTAATTAGCTGTTAATAGCTGTTAATTTACCGAATTAATTAATTAAGGAAAGTTTGTAAATGAGGCAGCTCGGGCCCATCCAGCACAGGCTGGGCCTCTCGTCCTTTGGAGGACACAGCAGGCACATCAGGAGTTGTATAAAAAAATAAAAATGTTTGTCTTGGCTTTAAATATAATAACAAAGGGAAGAATATTTCAGGTGAATTACCCACCTCAAGTCCCCAGAAAAACAACCACCACCCCACAAACCCCGGCAGGAAACGAAACAGGACAATTAAAAATGAAGTAACAAGAAATTAAAAATATCCAGCTGTGACTCATGGTGCTTTCTCCATAAGGACAGGAAAACAGGTACAAAAATACCCCGGGAAAACATGGAGAAGGATTTTTCCTCCCTGGGAAAACCTGGGGAAAACTGGGGGAAAATGGGGAAAACCTGGGGAAAAACTGGGGGGGAAATGGGGAAAAACAGGGGAAAAAAAGGGGGAAAAGGGGGGGGAAATGAGGAATAAATGGGAAAATTGGAAAAAAACCTGGGAAAAACCTGGGGGGAAAAATGGGGAAAACCTGGGGAAAAACTGGGGGGGAAATGGGGAAAAACAGGGGAAAAAAAGGGGGAAAAGGGGGGGGAAATGAGGAATAAATGGGAAAATTGGAAAAAAACCTGGGAAAAACCTGGGGGGAAAAATGGGGAAAACCTGGGGGAAAAAAATGGGGAAAACCTGGGGAAAAACTGGGGGGGAAATGGGGAAAAACTGGGGAAAAAGGGGAAAAAAAGGGGAAAAAGGGGGGAAAAATGGGGAATAAATGGGAAAAATTGAAAAAAAACTGGGGAAAAAACTGGGGGAAAAAATGGGGAAAAACTGGGGAAAAAAACTGGGGAAAAAATGGGGAAAACCTGGGGAAAAACTGGGGGGAAATGGGGAAAAACTGGGGAAAAAGGGGAAAAAAAGGGGAAAAAGGGGAAAAATGGGGAAAAATTGAAAAAAAAATTGGGAAAAATGGGAAAAAAATGGGGAAAACCTGGGGAAAAACTGGGGGGAAATGGGGAAAAACTGGGGAAAAAGGGGAAAAAAAGGGGAAAAAGGGGAAAAATGGGGAAAAATTGAAAAAAAAATTGGGAAAAATGGGAAAAAAATGGGGAAAACCTGGGGAAAAACTGGGGGGGAAATGGGGAAAAAAAGGGGAAAAATGGGGAAAACTGGGAAAAAATGGGAAAGAAAAATGGGAAAATAAAAGGGGAAAAACTGGGGAAAGACTGCGGAAAAAGGGGGAAAAAAAAGGGCAAAAAGGGGGAAAAATGGGGAAAAATTGGGAAAAAAAAAGGAAAAAATGGGGGAAACCTGGGGGAAAAAAATGGGGGAAACCTGGGGAAAAACTGGGGGGGAAATGGGGAAAAAAAGGGGAAAGAAAGGGGAAAAATGGGAAAAAAATTGGGAAAACTGGGAAAAGGCAAAGAGGAGGCAGGGAGAGCACAGGGCCAGGGCAGTCCCTGCCCTCAGCTCCTGGAGGAATTCTGAGCATCTGAATCAAACTCCCAGCCTAGAAACCCTCTCCACCCGTAAATCCCTCAGCATTTCCCAAATCCCCATTTCCATCTCCACTCTGGATCCAGAGCACTCGGGAGCTCGGATCCTCCTGGGTTCCTCCCAAGTCCCAAATCCCTGGGGGCTGCTACCTCATCCTGCTGCTGTGCAGGGCCAGAACCTCCTGGTACTGCTGGACACAATTCTGGAAAATGGACACAACCCTCCTGGCCAGGCTCCCCAAATTCAGCCTAAAACCAGGAATGAGAGAGGGAACAGCGTGATTTCCTTAAATGTGTGCAAAGGAACGCCAGGAGAAACGGGCTGGATGCTCAGAAATGAATTACAGAGAAAATAAACCCTGCTGGGGATGCACAGGGAGGTTTTGGGGATGCACAGGGAGGTTTTGGGGATGGAGATGAAGGTTTTGGGGATGCACAGGGTGGTTTTGGGGATGGAGAGGGAGGTTTTGGGGATGCACAGGGAGGTTTTGGGGATGGAGAGGGAGGTTTTGGGGATGGAGAGGGAGGTTTTGGGGATGCACAGGGAGGTTTTGGGGGATGGAGAGAGGTTTTGGGAATGGAGAGGGAGGTTTTGGGGATGCACAGGGAGGTTTTGGGGATGGAGAGAGGTTTTGGGGATGCACAGGGAGGTTTTGGGGATGCACAGGGAGGTTTTGGGGGATGGAGAGGGAGGTTTTGGGGATGGAGAGGGAGGTTTTGGGGGATGGAGAGGGAGGTTTTGGGGATGGAGAGAGAGGTTTTGGGGATGGAGACGAAGGTTTTGGGGATGCAGAGGGAGGTTTTGGGGATGGAGAGGGAGGTTTTGGGGGATGCACAGGGAGGTTTTGGGGGATGGAGAGAGGTTTTGGGGATGCACAGGGAGGTTTTGGGGATGGAGAGGGAGGTTTTGGGGGATGCACAGGGAGGTTTTGGGGGATGGAGAGAGGTTTTGGGGATGCACAGGGAGGTTTTGGGGATGGAGAGGGAGGTTTTGGGGGATGCACAGGGAGGTTTTGGGGGATGGAGAGAGGTTTTGGGGATGCACAGGGAGGTTTTGGGGATGGAGAGGGAGGTTTTGGGGGATGCACAGGGAGGTTTTGGGGGATGGAGAGAGGTTTTGGGGATGCACAGGGAGGTTTTGGGGATGGAGAGGGAGGTTTTGGGGGATGCACAGGGAGGTTTTGGGGGATGGAGAGAGGTTTTGGGGATGCACAGGGAGGTTTTGGGGATGGAGAGGGAGGTTTTGGGGGATGCACAGGGAGGTTTTGGGGGATGGAGAGAGGTTTTGGGGATGCACAGGGAGGTTTTGGGGATGGAGAGGGAGGTTTTGGGGGATGCACAGGGAGGTTTTGGGGGATGGAGAGAGGTTTTGGGGATGCACAGGGAGGTTTTGGGGATGGAGAGGGAGGTTTTGGGGGATGCACAGGGAGGTTTTGGGGGATGGAGAGAGGTTTTGGGGATGCACAGGGAGGTTTTGGGGATGGAGAGGGAGGTTTTGGGGGATGCACAGGGAGGTTTTGGGGGATGGAGAGAGGTTTTGGGGATGCACAGGGAGGTTTTGGGGATGGAGAGGGAGGTTTTGGGGGATGCACAGGGAGGTTTTGGGGGATGGAGAGAGGTTTTGGGGATGCACAGGGAGGTTTTGGGGATGGAGAGGGAGGTTTTGGGGGATGCACAGGGAGGTTTTGGGGGATGGAGAGAGGTTTTGGGGATGCACAGGGAGGTTTTGGGGATGGAGAGGGAGGTTTTGGGGGATGCACAGGGAGGTTTTGGGGGATGGAGAGAGGTTTTGGGGATGCACAGGGAGGTTTTGGGGATGGAGAGGGAGGTTTTGGGGGATGCACAGGGAGGTTTTGGGGGATGGAGAGAGGTTTTGGGGATGCACAGGGAGGTTTTGGGGATGGAGAGGGAGGTTTTGGGGGATGCACAGGGAGGTTTTGGGGGATGGAGAGAGGTTTTGGGGATGCACAGGGAGGTTTTGGGGATGGAGAGGGAGGTTTTGGGGGATGCACAGGGAGGTTTTGGGGGATGGAGAGAGGTTTTGGGGATGCACAGGGAGGTTTTGGGGATGGAGAGGGAGGTTTTGGGGGATGCACAGGGAGGTTTTGGGGGATGGAGAGAGGTTTTGGGGATGCACAGGGAGGTTTTGGGGATGGAGAGGGAGGTTTTGGGGGATGCACAGGGAGGTTTTGGGGGATGGAGAGAGGTTTTGGGGATGCACAGGGAGGTTTTGGGGATGGAGAGGGAGGTTTTGGGGGATGCACAGGGAGGTTTTGGGGGATGGAGAGAGGTTTTGGGGATGCACAGGGAGGTTTTGGGGATGGAGAGGGAGGTTTTGGGGGATGCACAGGGAGGTTTTGGGGGATGGAGAGAGGTTTTGGGGATGCACAGGGAGGTTTTGGGGATGGAGAGGGAGGTTTTGGGGGATGCACAGGGAGGTTTTGGGGGATGGAGAGAGGTTTTGGGGATGCACAGGGAGGTTTTGGGGATGGAGAGGGAGGTTTTGGGGGATGCACAGGGAGGTTTTGGGGGATGGAGAGAGGTTTTGGGGATGCACAGGGAGGTTTTGGGGATGGAGAGGGAGGTTTTGGGGGATGCACAGGGAGGTTTTGGGGGATGGAGAGAGGTTTTGGGGATGCACAGGGAGGTTTTGGGGATGGAGAGGGAGGTTTTGGGGGATGGAGAGGGAGGTTTTGCGGGATGCACAGGGAGGTTTTGGGGGATGCAGAGGGAGGTTTTGAGGGATACAGTTCCCTGTCACCCACCAGGGCACTTCTGAGGATTCTCTGCCTTGGAATTTAAGGCACATGTTTAAGGTCAGGCTGAGCATTCAGGGACACAGAGGAGGCTGTGAAATTTCACCCTCCCTGCTGCATGCTGAAATGGGAATTTTATTTCTTGCCTGTGACAAATCCCCCTGGTTTTGGTGGGAACTGAAAGGAGGATCCTTAAAGGTACAAAACCCATCAGGCACTTCCCTGCCCTGGAAGTCAAGCACTTAGGGAAGCAGGGACACTTCCTAAATCAGCATCTCAGTGAAAAAATTCCCAGCAAGTGAATTTTCTTCACAGAAAAGTTCCCAGCAAGTCCTGTGTGAGCAGCAGCCATGGGCTCATCCCCTCATCCAGCACAGACCCAAAAGCTGCTCCCTGTCCCCAGCTCTGCAGAGCTTCTCCCACAGCTTCACCTCAAACCTTCCCTGAGAGAGGTCCTGCAAGGAGGAACCAGCACAGGCAGCACCTCTGACAGCACCAGGGACAATTTCCATCCCTGGGGATCCAGCCAGAAGCACCAAACCCCGGCCTGGGGCAGGTCCTGGGCAGGGGAGCGGGGTGGGACTCACTTATCCAGCTTGTGGATTTGTTCCTCGTTGTAGCCCAGCCCTGGGGAGGAGAGACATTGTCAGCACACAATAAATGGGTGATTATAAATATATGTAATATATTTAATTATATTTTATTTTATTACTTTTAATATATATATATTATGTATTTATGTATATTTCTATATTTATTTATATTTTTATATTTTTATATATTTATATATATTTTTATATATTTTTATATTTTTATATATTTATATATATTTATATATTTATATATATCTATATATATTTATATATATTTTTATATATTTATATATGTATATATATTTATATATTTATATATATTTTTATATTTTTATATATATTTATATATTTATATATTTATATATTTATATATTTTTATATATTTTTATATATTTATATATTTTTTATATAATTATATTACATAAATTATATATTATATATTATATATAAATATATTATATATAAATTATAAATTATATATTATATAAATTATATAAATTATATATTTAAATTATATAAATATAATATAAATATAAATGTAAATATAAATAAAATATAATATTAATGTAAATATAATATAATATAATAAAATATAAGTATAATATATATTTATATATAAAATATATATTTATATATAGACATATATATGCATATATAAATATATGTAATATATTTATAATAATATTTATATATTTCTATAAATATATGTATTTATAGATATATTTATATATTTATAATTTATATAAATACATATAAATATAGATGTGAAATAAATTTCACAGCCCAATAAAAGGGCGATTTCACAACTCCCTGAGGCTGCTGAAGGGGATTTTCCTGGCCCCTGGGGCCGCTGTCAGGACACAGAACAGATGCTCCACAAGGTCCCTCTGTGATTTGGGGATTCCAGGAAATAATTGCCAATCCCAGCAAACCAAACCCATCGGTTTTTCCTGCTGGGACATTCCTGCCTCGTGGCCCCATCACTCACTCAGACACGTCCTGGCCTTCTTGAACTGCTTGTAGATCCCCTGCATCTTCTCCAGGCAGCACTCCATCTGCTGGGTGCTGCCAGGGAGAGAGGAAAAGAATTGAAAATCATGGAAAATTCGGGGAGTTAGGAAGAAAGTTACTGGGAAAAAGTGTTAAAGGTAAAATGGGAAATGTTCGGCCTTGTGCTTGCTAAGATGATGTGAAACTGCACCTGTGTAGCCAGTATGTGATAAATGATTTAATTGTTAGATGGGATTTGATATAATTATTGTTTAAAGAATCATGAGAAACTACGCAAGGGGTTTGGGGGGGATCACGAGAAATCCATGCTTGGGTAAAATCAATGTATACAATAGAACAATGTAAGTTTAATAATTAATAATAAGTTGTATAAGGATAGAGTAATAAAATATGTTCAGCTCAAAACCAAGTGGGTCAGATTTGGGTTTGTGCACCCCTGACACCCAGAGCTCTTTAATAAAGCACCTCCATGTAATAATTCCGTGATTCTGTGTTCCTGAATGCTAACGAGGGGAGTGGGAAGGAGACGTGAGGCCCCTGGGCAGGGAGGGCTGAGATCATTTTGGGGTGAAATGATCACTTTGGGGTGTGCTGTGACCCTGCTGCCCCCCAGCACCCCCCGAGCGTGGGGTGGCACCGGGGCTGTGCCTGGCAGGGGAGCTGCTCCAGCAGGGTGGGGACAGCCACCAGGGATCCCACCACCAACCTCTTGTCCTCGTGCACTTGCTGCCTGTCCTTCACCAGCTCGGCCAAAATCCCATCCAGGGCCCCCTGGAAGTCAAAGATGCTGTGGGAGCACTGGGAGAGCTCCTGGTCCACCTGCAGAGGAGGGGGAGAGGTTGGGACCAGCTGCTGCAAGAGCTGAGGGGGCTCCTCGGGCTGGGGATGCTCCTCACCCTCTGCAGCCTTGTCTCCAGCACATCCACCCCAGCTGGGTCCCTGCTGCCCCCAGGAACAGCCTGGAACCTGAGCAGAGATAAAAAATGGATATTCCTGAAGGAGGGAACAATCCAGAGGCAGCTCCCACCGGGGAATCCATCTGGTGCTGGGCTCCTGGGGGGCTGCAAAGTGATTTTCTTGGGCAGCCACGCGGATTTCAGAGCGCCAGATCTGAGCCACGAGACCCAAAGTGCTGATCTGCTACAAACTCGCCCCGTTGTGCCCGATTTGTTCCAAAATCGCTGGTTTTCCACCCGCTGGCTTCAGGCCAGCTGGGACGGTGTGCGTGTCCCTGCAGCTGGCACGGGGCTGAGGCAGCAGGAATATTCCTGATGTAAATGTTGGGAAGAGCAGGAACATCCAGCTGCTCCTGGCACTCAACGTGTCCCTGGCTGCTTTTGCTGCTTTTTCTGGATGAAATGGAAATGAAGAGACTTTGCTAAATGGCAAAGAATGTTCCACTACAACAGCAACGGCAACAAAAAAGCAGCAGAAAAGCAAAATATCCGTGGGTTGCTTGAGATAAAATGGGATCAGCTTGGCCCAGGGCAGCTGGGTGGGAAGGAGGGTGTGGGGAAGGGGAAGCTTGAGGGCAGCCCAGGGTTTCTCCTATATTTTATATTTTATATTTTATATTTTATATTTTATAT